GCAAATCCTGGCAACCATCCCTAAGGGGGTGAAAGGGGGTAACAAAGAAATAGGGGTTGGTCCAAAAAGTTGGAAAAAAATATTTTTATACGGTCTCCTAAAAGGTAACCCGTACAAGAAGAGCCCTTTGGGCGAAAATTTTGTCCGTTTGACTCTATCTTGCACCGTTTGGGCGCTAGAGTGCCTTTTTCGACGAAAATACGGCGAAAATGACGTGTTCTGGGTCGGTTTCGAGGGGCTCGTCCTTACCCCCTCCCCCTCTCCCCGCTCTCGCACCTCCTTCTCTCTCACTCTCCCTCAATCCGCCGAGCGCATAGGGTTGTCGGTGCGCCTGTCGGGTAGGCAGCCCATGTTGCAATGTGGACGACGGGGTGGCCTGCCGCTAGGGGGTCCTTCCCCGAGATGTCCGTGAATAATTTTTTTAGTCCGCCCTTCTGCTTTGAAAACGATATTATCGTGCGGGCTTATGGAAACGACCTCGTCGAACATTCGTTCAGTATTGCGCCGTCTTCCATAGTGGCGCCGCGTCAATTCTGAGTGATTTTCTTGTGTCCTAGTGCCTTGCGATGACGCCGCGCGAGAAGTCGCACTTGAAGAAAGTCAAGGGCCGGGGCTCTCCGTCTCATCGTCTGCGTGCCATCCGGAACGCTGACAAGCGCAGAGTCCACAACGCTTCGATCAAGTACGGTGTGAGTGCCTCACACCTCAAGGTAAATCAGAGACCAACCAGCAGTATTTTTTGCATGTTAAAAACTGAAAAGTAAATTCATCAAAAGATAGGAGGGAAAGAAGGCGGGAAGGGCAGAAAAGAAGAGGGAGAGAGGCAGGGATTGATCATGAATGACTAGGCCGTCCCCCTCCCGGTGGCAAAGGTCGGGTAAGAGAGGAGGCCAAAAAGATAAGTCGTGTGTATTAAATTAGGTTTCGTTAGTTATGGCTTGCCCTTGCTATAAACACTACATTCTGATGTCATTTCGCAATCGTAATGCAGGGTCATATCATTTTGTAACGAGTGTATTCGATTAAAAAGATTTTCGTGTCGTCCTTTCTCTGTGTGTGTAGTCGTGTTCGGTTCGCGTCGTGAAGCCGAGTGCGACCTGTCCGCTGTGTGACACCTCAGCCATCTGTGAGCGTTGAAGAGACGTCGGAGGTATTTATCCGTGCCGTGTGCCTTTGTGTTCCCTTTTCCTCGTTTTGTGTCTGTTTCTGTTAATAGATGTCGTTCCGTCTCTCGCCAGGATGTCGAGCTCGCCCCTCGCTACCAGACGCTGCAGATCGGTGGCCAAGAGCGTCGTGTCCTGCGCCCCCGCGTGTTGTCTCTGTTTGACGGTCTGATTTCCCTGTAAAATTCAATGACAGTCGGTTCGTGTTTCCGTCACTCATGTCCTGCCGTTGTAACCAGGTTTCTCAAGCGGGCTGCAGGCGCTGCGCAACGTGGGTGTGTTGCCCGAAGAGTACTTCGCGTGTGAGAAAGACTCTTGGTGCAAGAAAGTTTCCCGCTATCACTACGGCGAGTCCGTGTTTCAGCTGGGTGAGGTCCGTGCACTGTAATTCCTAAAGGCAACTTTTTTAGCGGTTGCCTTTGTTGTTACTCCCCAGCCACTGAGAAATCGTGAATGTTGCCCCTAGGGAGGCAACAACCGAAAGTGTCCGGGCTCAAGGCAACATTTGTTGCCTCTGCCGCAAAGTCTGCCTTGCCGCGGGGAAGAATGTTACCCTTGGCGTAAAGGCAACTTTTGTCGCCGTGCG